CTGGAGAGAATCTGCTGCACATCCCTCTTGGCAGGGTTTTCATGAGAATTTTTGCATTCAAAGTGAATCTTCTTCTGCCAGAATGTTTTCCTCTAGAGCTAATAAAACCAAATTAGACTCTTCCCCAGATCAGGAATGAATTTTGTCTGATTATGTGTGTCATGGCTATAATAAACAGTTTATACGTGGGCAGAGGCTGTGTTTAAGTATGGCTGAATCCTGTTTGGTTTACTGTGATTAACCTAAACAATTTATAAATGGATGAAGTAAGTTAATTTAAATTCTTTCTTCATTTCCTATGAGTTTGTTAAGATTAGTTACTTAAAAGCAGCCATTCCAGAAATGTTCTCAAGACAAGCAAGTTAATGAATGTTAACATTCCTATATTAAAATGATTTTTTTTGGTCCCATTTTAATAAGGCTTACATGTCCTTTCCAGAAGCTCTTGGGCTAAACAACCTGCTGCATAATGGGAGATGCAGTTTATACCTTAAAGCACAGGAGCATTTCACCCTTGCTACGTGCCTTTGCTGTGGCTACGCTCCTCAGGAACCTGCTGGGCTGTGCGCTACAAGGGACCCTGCTCCTGCGCAGCATTTCTTGGTGGCATGGCAGATGTTCCTTGTGTTGTCTTTCACTGAAGTCTTCTTCTGAAAGCTTTTAGTTCAGTTTTGTTACATACAAGATGAAACACTGTCTTTGTCATTACAGACACTTGCATATCATGTACAAGAGGCTTTGCTCTTTCAAAAAAATGGTATTTTACTTGGATTCTCACATGTAATGATTCATGCAAATAGACCCGAGTAGACCTTGTATTTCCACCTTAATTTTTGATGTTGCTACTCCTGAGTCTGAGAAGGCATATCTGAAACACTGCCAAATGATGTAGCCCCAATTTAATAGCAATGTTGTAGTACTGGGTAACTCTAGAGAAGACCTTGCTAGATTAATACCGAAAGCCCTCACACACATTTATAAAGAAGTTAGTACATAAAGACCAGCATCTCTGTGCCAAATATCTGCAGCCATTGATAGACAGACAGATATTTATCTCAAAGGAAGTTTTTACTATCTTCTGTTAGAAAACAAGAAAGACAGTTTTCATCTTCACAGAAAAGCATCAATTAGATGTAATCATTACTGTCCATAAAACATTTTCTAGCCTTACATGTTGCCCTGAAAGGTTAAAGCATGAAGTCCTCAGTGTATTTAGTGCGTCTGTTTCTAGAATGTTTTGTATGGGATTGAAAGTGCCAGGTTTTGGCTTTGGCAGGATGTGGGGTGAAGAGCCCTAGTTCTGTGCAGCAGTTTTACCCCGGGTAGTGCCAGGAAGGGGAGATTGGATCTTTGTCTTGTTCAGCAAAACCAAAGACAGAGGAGAGACAAGTCTCTCCTGCTTCTGAGAAGATGCACAAAGTTGCCAAATCTGATGTGACTGCCATCTCCATGCAGTTGGGTTAGAAATATAGGAGATATTTATTTCTTTTAGGTTTTTTACTTCCTGTGGACTGATTTTGGCCTAATTAAAAAGGCTGTGGTGCAATGACTAGGTATGTGGTATATTAACTGACTACACAGTTCATTAAACAGCTATCTTGGCCGTGGTTTCTCCAGGATGGCAGCCCTTGCCAGTGAGGACTGTCCTGCGGGGCTCAAGTGAGGTGGGGAGGCCAGTGAAGGAGATGTGCGGGCATGGGTTTGTCTTCTGCAGTGCAAAAACACCGAGTTGCTCTCTTAAGCGAAGCATCAGCGTCCTGATCCCAAAGCCAAGGCAACACCTCACTGCTAGACAACTGGGCACGGATAGCCTGGATTTAGCCGTCTGCAAGGAGAAAGAGCACGAGGTGAGTTTGCCTTTATTTCTTCCTCCCCCACACTTCTTGCTGCAAGACATGAGTAAGAAGAGGAATGTTTTCATCCAGAAGTGGTCCCTCCTGTGATGCTCAGGAGGTGGCTAAACCTGGGAAGAAATATTGGAAACCTTTGCTCTATGTAGCTTAAAATGGCAGCATGTTTGAGAAGCAGGAATTTCTGCAGTGAGAGGTTAATTGTGCCTTCTTGACCAGATGACCATTTTAATTTGTAATGAATTTATCTAGATAAATGTATTTCCTGAGCTCAGGCCTCTCAGGAGTCTCTTGATGTGGCTGTATTTCAAGAAATCACTGACTTCGTCCTCAGCACTACACACACGAGAGGAGACATTCAAATCCCTGAGATAAAGACTAGGTGAGAGCCTCCAGTTGGCCAAGGCTTTGGGCTATCTGGGTTACTCAGGGAATTTCCCAGGAAGATGCAAGTGCCTGAAAATACACCCAAACGCTGTCGTGAGGTGCAGCATTTGTGCTAAGCTGCTTGCTAGGATGAGGCTGTGCTTTTTGGCACCCCCCAGCACGATCTGTCTGAACATGCACGCTGAGTGCACCCACTTGCAAGACCGTTTGCCAAGTAATAAGCAGTGTGAACCCAGCCAAACCGCATTCGTGAACAGCAAGAGGCAGTTTGGAAGAGAATTTACTCCAGCTTGCTTGCGGCCAGAGGGAGGAATTGCTGTAGACAGTGTTTGCCTCCTTTCCAGTCTTTCTTCTTCTTTTTTTTTTTTTTTTAATGAAAGCAAGGAAAGGGATAAAAAGCTACAGATCAGGAAACAAGTTCATCAGCGTCCCTTGGAATGCAAAGAAGCCCTAGGGTCCCAGCACAGCTGGTGTCACAAGAGGACAATATTGCAGGTGCTCCACGCGTGGCCCAGTTGGTTTCCAGGAGCATCGGAATAGAGGTGTGCTAATGCCCCTGTCCCCAGGAACTGTGTCATTCCCCCCCCCCTTTTATTTTTCTATTATTCGTGCCTATTCTAGGAGCACTTTGGAGCATGCTGGTAGCACAGAGGCTATGTTGGCACATTAGATGTATTTTGCCAGTTTTGGAGCGGAGGTGGCCACTGTACACTCGACATCATTGGCCACGTGGGCTGCACTGGTCCAAGCCACGGAGCGCCCGGTGAGGCCGTGACGTCCTGAGCGTCAAAGCTACTCAAAATCCAACAATGTCTTGAGCAAGCTGACCCGAGCTGCTAATTTTGAGCAGGAGCCCAGGTCAGATCACCAGAGAGCCTGGTGGCTGGGCCAGAGGTCCCCTCCACCCC